AAAATGTCCATGTGACTCAAAAAAGAAAGAAAGAGAAAAAAGCAAAACCTCTTCTTGTAAAGAAAATCTAAATAAAAAACAGAAGTGATCCCCTAGTCTAATTCAGGGCCAGCTCACAATATGTGCTCGATGCATATTCCTTGAATTGATATTGAGCAAAAGTGATTTTGACTGCATACACAGCGATTCTGGGTTTGCCTATAAAACCCGACAGAAATCAAGGTTCATCTGCTATCCCAACAGCCATTATACATGTACTACGGCTAGATCCCACCCAAGGCTGCAGGCTCAAGATCCAGAACTGCAGACATACTGTATTTAGATAAATGCATAATGTGTTACTAAGGAAAACCAGGATGGCCTGATTTTGCAATTCGACATTAGAAAGACAAGCTGCCCCCTAGGCCTCTTGCCAGAGTCAAAATCCAGCATAGAATCAGGGCCTAAACTTTTCTCATTAACCAATAATCCTGAAAAGAAAAACAAAATCTTAAGATGAGAGGTGGTTTGGGTAGAGGCCCAAGGCAAGATGAAGCCATGGTCACTTGTGGGCAGGGAAGAAAGGCCTTATTAATGATTTTATCGTAACTAATAGACTTGCCTCACTTCTGTTTCTAGAGACTAGACTGTCATCTTTTGCCTCTGCCTCCCTGAATATGCACAGTGTTTTTTTTGTGTGTGTGCACCGGAAGTGCAGATATTTTCCAAATGAATGAAGTAGCAGACAGCCAAGTCCTTTCCTCTGACCAAGCAGTGAGATCCTGAAGTTGGAGGCCTTCTGAAAACAACAGAATGAAGATGTAAATGGAAGGGCCAGGGATTTAGCTCAGTGGTGCCACCACCTGCCTCGCAAGTGCAAGGTCCTGAGTTTGACCCCTGGTACCAAAACAACCTAAGATGTAAACAGAAGTGAGGAATCCATGAACCACTACACAAGGAAGTAGCAAAGACAATTTGCACCAACTGGGGAAGAAACATTTTTCAGGAAACTGATTCAATACTGGAAAGGGTGTCCCAGGGTAAAAGAAATAGGTATGCTCTATCCAAAGCCCCAGAAGTCAGCTTTCGACTGAATTTAGGGGAGAAGCTCTTATTCACCGGCTATGTTAGCAGAATGCTAGTAAGTCATGGCTGGGTATGCTGATAAGAGGGGTAAAGATTCCAATTTCTTCTCTCAGAAAATAAGTTTGGGAATCTGGGTTAATCAGAGGTATGTGGATATTCTCTCCCTGAAGGACACAGATGTCAGCAATCCTTAAACATCTGTGACTGAACAGGTTTTCATAGGAGGGTATGAATATTTCACATGATCTCTGCATTCCAAGCTTACTTCTTGAGAAAAGTTGAACTGGAGATGACAAAAACCATTTTATGAAGGAGCACCCCTATGTGAGTAGTTTTAGGACACAAAATTCAGTGCTCCATAGATAACAAGAGATGCAACCTAAATAGAAAACCAGAGCAATGAGATCATTTTCCAGTGCAGATTCATGTGGCATGACCAGGGAGCTGGCAAAGATCATTACATAGGAGGAGGATGCAGACAAGCTGTCCCTTCCAGCCACTTGGGGTCCAAACGAGTGGGTGATGTGGATGTTGTGAAGGGATCTCAGAAGTTATCAATGCTGTTGAGTGGGAATCTTCCTGAGAGCATAAGTCTTGCCAGAACCCTTCTCTGGTAGTATTTTGCTAGAACATATCATCTGCCTGCCTTCCTCCTCATCCACTCATATATATTTTAGATCCATTCATCTTATAAATATTCACTGAGGGTATTTCATAGCCTGGTAGTGGTGAGTACAACCAGACCGAAGATGCTTCATGACTGCTCATTGAGGAATACAATGAACAAATACATGACTCAAATAATGGTCTGAGGGTGTCCATATCTGTTACAAAGGGAACAAATGATCAAGACAACATGAACTTACACAGAGACCATGTCCAGTCTAGGGTTGTAGGATAAGCTCCCTAAGAAAATGTACAGGCCCCAAACAAATCTCTGTGACACTCCTCCAGGAAGCCATAGCCCAGTGGAGTTGGAAAGAACCACACAGAAGCCTTCTTCCTAGCACACATCTTAAGAATGCCCAATCTAAGTCTGCGATTGATCAGGTCTAAGGTAGATAACCAGGTGATCAATCCGAATGCAGCTGCTCTGCAGACCACAGTAAAGCAACACTGCTTTGTAAGACTTTAAAAAGACCTAAGTAAATTGAGCATTAGCTATCCCATGTTCATGGACACAACCATGATGTCACTTCTCTTCAAAGTAACCTAGTATTTCAATAGGCTTCAAATCAAAAAGCTTAGAGCTGTGTTACTCCTTATGGTTGTTGTTGTTGTTGTCATCATTGTTTTAAACTAACAAGTTGTTTCTAAAATTATTTAAACACGAAGACCATTTTGGAAAAGAATGAAGTAAAGGAGGTGCCCTTCCAGCTCAAGGCTTACAATATAGATGTGGTACTGACACAGAGATAGACAGAGACCAATGAAGCAGGGAGCCTTAAAAATAGACCTATGCTTCTAGGAAAATGAAATATAGAAGAAAGCACTGCAAATCAATCTAGAAAGGATATACTGCCTGTGAAATTGGTTATTTTTATAAATGATAAACTTAGATTTCTACCCTATATCGTATAAAAATAAAATTCCAGATAGATTATGTTTTTAAATGTGAAAAAAAAGAAAAATTTTAAACTTAGGAGAAATTACAGGATTTTTTTTTTTACAACTTTGGAGTACAGAAATATATCTTAAATAAGACACCAACTGTGCAAACCAAAGAGATTGACAAATGTGACTTCAGTAAAATTTGAAATTCTATACACCATAAATAAACAAGAAAGAAAAGCCACACACTGGGAAAAGACATTTATAGCACCATAAATAATATCTAGGATATATCAACGATTTCTATCTGTAAAAGATAAGTGATCCAAACAGACAAGGACATGAACATGAAGTTCACAGATGAGAATATCAAATAGCAGAAAAACATCAAAAGGTGCTTGACCTTAAGTAATCAGAGAAATGTAAATGCAAAATAGCGAAATGCCATTTCACACCCACTACACCAAGAAAACAAAAATCAACCAGACCAAGTGCTACGCAAAATGTGGCGCAGTAGAATGTCTCAAGCACTCATGTGCAGACTGTAGATCAGGGCAATCCTTTTGCATTATCTGATAAAACTGACAACACATGGACCTCACAGCCCAGCACTTCCACTCTTCAGTACAGTTATGGTTTCAATATGTCCCCTACAGTTTGGGCACTGGAAACTGAATCCCAAATTTAAGTGTTGAAAGGTGGGACCCCTGAGAGGTAATTAGCACACAAGGTCCCATTAATCCTTCAAAAGATGGATATCATTATGGGGGAAGTGGGTTTGTGCCAAAAGGGACAGTTTGACCTCTTGCTCCTGAGCATATGTGCTCTTTTGCTCTTCTGCCTTCTTCCAAGGGATGACACCACCCCTTCACCTGGCCCTTGCCATTTGCTAGAGCTACAAGAAACACATTTGTTCTTTATCAATTACCCAGTGTCAGGCTTTCTGTTCTAGCTGCATAAATCACATTACGATAGGGAAACAGCCTAGAAACCTTCACTCATGTACTCAAGCCAGCACCAGACATTCACTTGGCATGCTCAAAAATAGTGACAGCAGACAGCAGACTAAAGGCCCAGCCAGGGGACCTGGATAAACACAAAGAAGGCAACTCATGCCATGCAAAGCCACAGATGGGGCTGGGACTTAAGAGAGCTAAAGCTATACGTATCAACACGGCTACACCTCAAAACCAACACTGAACAAAGAAGCGAAGCTGTTCTACAGATGTAAGTGATGGGTACTATTAATACAAAATTTTAAAATATGTAAAAATGTAATGGACACCATGAAAAACAGTTAAAAGAATCACTCCCTGGTATTATCTAAGGCATGTACATTTGTAGAACAGGTATAAAGATGTGCATGTGAATGATAGATCTAAATTCAGCATAATTGTTTCTAGAGAGGGAAGAGGAAAATAATTAAAATCACTTATAAAACCACTCCCCTCACATATGCACCGTTATGAATTGGCATCAGGAGAGAGGAAGCTTTCTCATGAAGCCAGCCTTCTTTGGATTGAAAAGTCTCAGAAAGCACTTAGTGCAGCCTTCAACTCATGCAGGAAATGTCTCTTCAGTACCTGTAGCAAACGATGGTCCCATTTCTATTTCAGAAGCTCTGAAGTCGAGCCGCTCTATGCTTTTAGACACATTATATACCATACAATTCTGGAGTGCACATTTGGATGTAGCAGTATGCATCTTGTGGAACTATATGAGCAGCCCTGTAAAGGATCACCCTATGGAACTCTGGTAAAACTATGCCCATTTCTGGGAAAATTCTCACCCACAGAACTACTACTTATAATTTCAGGGGCTTCTGACAGGTCCCCAACAAGGATCAGCAGTTCTGCACAAGTCCAACCCTTTCAGTGTGGGTGCTCACAACCTCCTGAAGTACTTTATTCAGCCAAGGTTGTAAGGCCAGCATCTTCCTTTGGCAAGGCAGAAACCTGCCTCTTTGTAATTGCCACCCATTAAAGTACATCTACTTCCTTTCCATGTGCCTTTCAGCTACTAGAAGCTAGCTAACCTGTCCCCCCAGGAGACTTCTGTCTTCAGGCTAAATATACTCTTGACTTCACTTATTGAAAACATGCTATAACTTCTCTTCTGTTCAAAATGAATTTTTAAACCGTCTAAGGTTTTATCAAGCACTTCCTGCCCCAATAAATGCTAGGCACGCTAAGAAAGCATTTCTTTCAGCTGTTCCTCTGGGAAGCCCAGAAGATCTCCACGTGGACTTCTAGGTCAGGCAGACACCTTGAGAAGCCAGAAGCACTTGGCTGCAGGAGGGCTCTGCTTTGTTCACAGAGGGGGCTAGGCTAGCGAGGCAGGACCAGCACACAGCCCCACAGCCCCGGAAGGGCTCCTCCACTTACTCCCAAAACTCCATGACAGGGGAGGTGGCGTTCTGCAGGGACACATGGCTGTAGTTGCTCGCGTTCAGCTTCTGGAACTCCACACATTTCTCTACAGTGGAAACAAGAGAAGACATGCAAGACAATTAACCTTGACAAGGGGTGACTAGGGAAAAACATTCAGAGCTGATGGTGTAACTCGGCAGCTTTACCTGGCCGCAGAGCAAACAAAGGGTCAAAGGACGTGGCTGTGAAATCGATGCTCCACAAACAGTCAAGTTTGGGATAATCAGAACAGAACGGGAGGAGAGCTTGGGGGCAGGGACTCTCCCCCACCCTCTATGTCTTATCAACTCTGGCCTCCAGCCTCATTCCCAAATCTGCTTTTCTTTCTTCCTCTCTCTGCCCAAGTCTCTCCTGCCCGGTGACCCTGACTGGAGTAGAGGGACTAAAGGAAAGGGTTAATCGTGGTGTCCCCAGGGCAGGAATGCACCTGAAACTTTGCTTTTCTCTAAAAGGGGGCTAACACTGCAGCTGCTTATAAAGATGTGAGAATTGATGAAAAGCCAAGAACCTACACTTGTAAAGAATCTTTGGTTTCTTCATCTAATCAATCAGAAAGGATTTACTGAACAGCTTTCTCAGAAACTTGATGACCAAGGGAATGTCGTGCGAAAATATCCTAGGGTTCGTCCACTGAGGCCCGGAGCAACCCATTAACCCCTCCTCCTCCAGGAAGTCTGTCCTTATCTCCCTCCCCCTAACCCCTCCTCCTCCAGGAAGTCTTTCCTTATCTCCCTCCCCCGAATTCCATGCAAGGCAGGGTTCAAAGGCCCTCTGAGAATCATCTTTTCTAGTGCCTTTTATTTTGAAGAGAAAAGAATCTAAGGTTCAGAAATAGTCAGGGGACCCCGACCTGCACCCTCTCCCTCTTCCATAAAACCAGCAGTTAAAGACAGAAATGACCACAAAATCCTGCCAGGACCCCACTCCCTTTGCTGTGTTTAATGACTGGGACCGCCGACCTACCCCTGTGGAAGCTGTGCTTCCGGTTTACAGAGCTCCCTGGGGGCAGAGAGGCTGCTGCGCCTGCGCCTGCACTCTCAGGACCCAGGGCAGGCTGCAGTACCCAGCTCTGAGTTTAGGCCCGCCGGCCCTGCACAGCTTTCTTCTCACGCGTGCGCACTGCATTAGGCTATACCTGCCCTCTCTAGGGAGAGGAACCACCTCCTGCATGTGTTGTTTCATATACTGCAGGCATTAGTGTGCCTTTGGAGCGGTGATGGCGAAGCTTGTAGTTTTCAACGATACAAACAGCACACTGTGGCATGTGTGCCACGGGTCTGCCACCACTGTTTTAGAGAAAGGGTTACAAGCAATGGATGGAGCAAGATGTGGGCTTGTGGAGCAACGCCGCCACTTCCGGCTCTTCCTGTCAGAGGCTATGTTCTGAGAGGAGGCGGCTTCAGCAGGGTTAACAGTTAAGTCTTTAAAGGAACCTAGAAAACTGAAATTATAAGCAAAAGGACTTACATCCTGGGCCTTTTGCTGGGTGAGAGGAGCCCTTTGCTTGTATCAAATTCTCTGAAATAGTGTTTTTAATATTTTTTCCTAGAACAAAGAAATTTCTCAGACACCCAAGGTTGACCAGTTATTTTTATTAAAATGATATTTAATCATGTACAAATAAATAGTGGGCTATAAAGTCTTTGTAACTATATAATTTATACAACTGGACAAGCAAAATTAAATTTACAAGTTAAATACCAGCCAATACCAGCCAACACAATTCTGAATGATAACATAAAATGGAAATGTAGGATAATGACAGTGAAATCAAGCTGCTTTCCCGACAGACAAATGGAGATGCCAGGTTAGAGGCAGGTCTGCTGGCCTTCAGGCTGATTCTCCATGGCTACTTGAGACTCGATTCTATGGCCAGTTTCCTCTGAGCACACTTCTGTAAAACCTGCATTCCTACAGTTTATGCATTCCAGCTGCACTTCCTTTTGTACCAGCACACTATTTGTTTTTCTTTTCTTTATTTTTAAAAATTATAATAACATTTTTGCAGTGCTAGAGATGGAACCCAGGGCTTGACACATGCTAAGCAAGCACTATACCACTGAGGCACAATCCCAGTCCCCGAACACACCATTTATGAATTAAATCTCTCTGCTTTCTTTCTCTTGACCATGGTCATTCTATTGCCAAAGTCATGATGAACTATAAACACAAAGTCAGGAAGTAGAATCTCCTGACCATCCTCAGTTACTAAGTGGTTATGCCAAAGGTTCAGAATTTATAGAGGACTCTCAAAATACATAAGTTATCATAGAGGATTTGCATACCTCCAAGAATAGATCCTTGAATCTTGGTTTGGTAGCACCTCTTTGAGGTCCCTTGCCAAAGGAAGGTTAAGAACCAGGGGCCCTGGAGAGAACAAGGCTGCCATAAAATGTGACTGAGAAGGAAGCAGGGCAAAGTCACACGGGCTAGACACCTGGTCACAGCACTATGTAGGTCTGGAGCCTGCTATCCCTTCTGCTGGTGGTCAACACCCTGCCACTCTTCCTGGATCCCAGCCCTAAGAATGAGAGACTACTCGCAGGCACAGTCTAACCCTAGATTCTGACATGCACGGTGAGGAAGTTAAAGCATGTGACCCAATTCCAGTCAAACAGCAAAAACCTGAGAAGGTATGCTGCAATCGATTAGTCATGTCTGCTGGGAGCATAGCCATCACAAAAAAGGGGTTGGACAGGTATTCTCCCTCCCCAGATTACAAAACTCAATCCTGATAGGATGACAAGTGAAATGCAAATAATATATCAAAAAGAAAAAAAAAGCAATTTTAAAAAAGCATTGCATTCTGGGGTCAGGGGCATTGAATTTATATGTCAGCTGGACTGTGCAAGTAAGGCAAATGAAGAGGGTAATCTGGGTGAGGATGGTAACAACTCAAGGATAGCACCTAGAGGAATAGCTGCATCTCAGCTGCAGTCATTGCTGCCAAGGCAGGAATGTTGCCAATTTTTTTTAATTTTTGAAGAGAAGCTGGAAATCTGGATTTTCACATGAAGTGTGAATCAAATATATTCTTCAATTTGCTGTACATCATCTAAAGACAGATCAGCCCAAAGACCTTTGGTTTGCAGCCCTTAATCTAGTCTCATTTCTTCTTTTGAAGATGAAACCTGTCATTTGGAGAGGCAGGGCAGGAACTGGAGCCCTGGTCTCCTGAGTTTCCACCTGCTGCCGGCCAGTTCCCAAAGAGCTCAATCTCTGCATTTAGCAAAGAGCCCAGGGTACCCTCACTCCCCTCACCATGCCAATCCCTGGGCTAATCACAGATAGAGATTAACAGAATAAACCTACTCCAGCTACAGGACTCACCCCTCATTTTAGTGAGGCTACTTCCAGGAAACTGGGCTCCTGATAAGAGCCCAGAGGCCTACGATGCACCCCCAAACCCAGGTCCTCCAGCTGAACCAGTACAAAGAGCCTCCCTGGGGGGCCATACCTGTGTTCCATTCGTGCCCACAGGTGGCCCAGGGGAGCTCAGTGGTAAAGCAATTACTCAGGTAGAAGATGGCCCAGGCCAGGATGATGATGTAATACACGTTCAGATGGGCCTCGATCACCTGTGTTGCATACCCAATGCCTAAAAGGACAAAGGAGAGGGAGAAACTTGAGTCTTTATCTTTGCAAAACAGCCTCAGCTCTTCGTTGTAGCTTGATACTGTGAGTCAAATTTTTATTTTCCAATTAAACCAACACTTACCTTCAAATAAAGGGCAGATTTTCCTCCAACAAGTAATGCCACCTTCACTTGTAAATTGCCCCAGAGCCGTTTCCAGGAAAAACACAGGAATTCCACAGCAAATAAAAAATACCACATAAGGAATCAGGAATGCCCCTGGAAGGATGCAAAGGAATGAGATGAAAACTGTCGTCACGGTTTTGTGTTCAGCACAAGAACTCAACTAAGCGCAGCCATGAGCAAGATGTAACGTCCTCTGAGCTTGAGCTTAAGCTGAAGCTGGGAGGACCAGCGTCAGCCCTGAGCCTGTGCTCTTTATGACTTAAGCAGGTCCCATCTCACGTCTCTGAGCCTCCACTTCTTCCCCTGTCACACGGGGCTTTTAGTCCTCAATATCTGCACTGCTTAGCTCCGAAGCTAAGATGATAATGTCAAAGAAAGCATCTTATTGAAGCTCAGTTCTTTAGTTTATATGTTCCATCCTTCCATGCAGACCAACTCCATTCCTGCTCGGGATGTGACACCCTTCTTTCTAATTTGAATGTAATCTCAACAGACCAGGGGAAGGGGACCCTTCTTCTTCTTATTTACTTTCAGAGCAACCTGAAAAAAGAAAATCTTTTTTTTTTTTTTTTAAATAAAGAAAAGCATTCTCAGGGAATTCTATAAGGAGCAACGTCAGGCTTCAGAGTTGAGTGCCCCTACACACAAGGCCCAGGTGTAAGACTGTCATCTTGCCACAAACATCTGTCCAGCCAGCGTGGCTCAGGATCAGGCTGGGAAAAGACCACCTTAAGTTTTAGTGCTCCTAATTTGAAACACAATATCTATCGCCTGGATCTTTTGGCAAAACAAATTAAACAACTGAAGTAAACAGGAGCTATTGCAAACAGAAGGGGATTTTCCCCCAAATCCCTCATTCTTTCTCCTGTATAATAACAAAGCATGAAAACATACCATTTCCCACCATCTGATCTCACAAAGCTTTCAACCGAAATTGCATCCCCCCCCCAACGAAACCTCTTCAACTGCAAGAATTAATAGCAACAATTTTGATGGATTCTGATAGCAAAGTCCAATCTACCAGGTTTGGAAAGGGTCTTAACTTTTCTGGCTAAGTGAGTAATTTAAAGTGTCACACTGGGAAAGTTTAAACTATTGTTGGGCCCTATCAGTAGAGCCCTGCAGATTAAAACACACACAAAAAAACAACTGTGTGGGTGGGGGCATTGGTTAAACAGCCCAACTATATTGGAAGGCAAAAAGTATGGGAGAGGGAGTGAAGGTATCTGCTTGCTGAGTCTAAATCTAACCAATCAAAATGCCTCAGTAGTTCTTTAACACACTGCAGTTTACCTAGGAACTTCTGGAACAGTTGTGGCGAACCTATGGCACGTGTTTATCTGAAAACTCTGCCCTAGAACCTAGAACCTAGAACCTAAAAGATGACACCTTGTACAAGTCTCTGATCCATGTTACCCACCAAGCTAGTCCTGGAATCCTTACAATACTAACCCAATCCAGGGTATCTACGTCGATGGAGACACTTGGCAAATTAGAGAGTAAAAAAAAAAAGAAAGAAAGAAAAACCCAACAGTGACTCATTTTTAACTTTTCCTCACTACAATCTCTTTAAAAAAAAAAAAAAATCTGTGGTAGAATTTTTAATTAACCCAATTTACCCCATTTTCTACTTTTAGGAACGCTTTTTGTTTTAGTATAGCAATTTCCTGGATTAACAGAGATGTTGAGACAACTTTTGTCTGGGGGATACACAGCAGGATTTCCATAGGTTCCCAAGAGCACATCACAGAGAGGACCAGGAACACCTGGGGCCTCCTGGGCCAAGCCGTCCCCTGCTTGCTCCCCCTGCTGGGCCTGCTCAGGAAGTCCTGCACTGTCCCTGCCCGCCAACTTCTGAGCCACCTTCTTTAGGGGCTGCCCATTCGCTGGAGGAGCAAGGGTACCCCAAAAAGACGTGGATGCACAGATAGGCTTGAAGCCGGGAGCCACGGAAGAATGCATAAGCTCCCTTGCCATGGGCCTGTGGGCCGATCTGCTCGTATGACTTGAAGCCTGGAGCCCTTCTCTGAGCTGGGGCAGTTGTGGATTCACAACTGCATCTTCTGACAAACTGGGATGTGGTCACTGGAAACGACCCTCTCCTCACCCTCCTTTCCTCTCTCCTCACAGTCTCCAAGCATTTCTTACACATCCAGTCATTCTTGCTGCTACTTGTTGGGGGTGACTCTGAGACCAAAGAAACTGCTTGCTGCCAATTCTTCCATCACTGAGGCCCAAATCCCAGCCCTAGAAAAGGCCTCAGGAGCAGATGTAAAAGACAAGACAGGAAAGCAAAGAGCAAAGCCTCACCAAACCTTTCTCCTGCTTGTCAGCCCAAGCCCGCATTAAAACAAAGCCTTTGGAGTCAGCATCTCACTTTCTCGCTGGCTCGGGGAGGGGCTTCTCTGACCCTCAGTTTACACATCTGCGAGATGGGTCTACACTGCTAGCCAAGGTGACCATGACCCGAAGTGAAACAGCATGGGAAAAGCTTAGTGCGGTGCCTGGAACTTCAGCCAATGCTCCAGACCCAAGGCCACTCGGCAAAGCTGAGGCTCCCAGGGCAAAGCGTCCCCTGCCAAAGACACCTGCAGCTCCGGTCTCCTCGTATCTCCTGGCGGGAGGTCCCCGCGCTGGCAGGTGCCACACTCAGGTGTGAAGCAGCAGGCGCGCGCGGGGAACAGGTGGCCACGTGGCCCTGAGCTGGGGGTTCGCGCGTCCCGAGAGTCCCCCCCACCCCGCAGCCTGAGTCACCTTGTCCCCTCGCGCCTCACCTCCGCCGTTCTTGTAGCACAGGTAGGGGAAGCGCCACACGTTGCCCAGCCCGATGATCTCCCCGGCCACGCTCAGCACGAACTCCACCTTGTTGTTCCAGTGGCCGCGCTCGTGGACCGCCTTGTCCCGCATGTGGTCCCGCGCGTCCCCGCAGCCTGCTAGCGCCTGGGTCTCCCGCGCCTCCTCCGCAGCCTTCGCGTCGCCCAGG